TGAAGAATGCAGACGTCAATTTTCAACCCTTGGATGGAAGTCGTCGCATATTCTCCTATGCACAGGAAAGTTTTTCGTCCTTCACGTTAAGGTTTAAATTTCACTAGTAAAAACAGCTTAGATGTCTTATGGAATCAGGTTTGCTTTTCACTACTGCCTGTTTAGCACCTCCAGGCTTACTTGAAGACGAGGCAAGGTATAATAATAGGGCAGACTGCATCACCACTGATATACAGAAGGGCTGAAGGGCAGGTGGAATGGCCCGGAAGCCATGGCGCCCAGTGGAATACAAGCGTAGAGACTTAATTGCTCCCGTGGCCAATACACAGCGTTAAACTGCCAAATTACCACATTTCTTTCTAAATTTCGTTCATTCCACAATGGAATACTGCCTTTTAGTCTCAAGCCCATGTACTGAGGAGGAGCTAGACGATCTTAAAAAAGGGTTAATGTCAAATCATCATAAAAAAATTTTTGCAATGGGTAAATGACTACTTTATTACAGAATCAATTAACACTAAGGCTACTTGCAGACTTGGGAAAAAGCCCATTGTCTAATTTTTTGTTCACACATATCAAGAAGGTACTATTTTACACATTGTTAATTGGTTAAACAAAAAATCCTTTTAAACTTGTCGTCTTTCTCTACCAAATTCGAAACAAAAGTGGAGGTAGCTATTCTCACTTTCAGGATTTACCAGGAGGAATTTTTTAACAGGGTAGTGAAGATTTAGTGGTAAAAGCTCCACACATTTTTACGCTGAATGACTGTTCGGAGATGAACCGTAGGTGATAACTGCCTACTGCATCAATTAGAGAAAGTTGAAGATGACCTCAAGTATGACCTCTCCAAGATGTGCATTTCTCAGTCATCTAACCATTCTGTGAAATCCCATTTCATGCCTATTTTACTGTCCCACTGCATCCCACAAAACTTTCTATCGTGGACATGTAAGTTACATAACACTAGGGGGAATATTGCAATGCATTCTACTGAGGAATAAATAAGCTAAATGGGTTAGGAATAAAGACATCTCATATAAAATCTGCAGCAAAACACGATTTATACAGTTTGCAGTGTGGCATACTACAATAGCTTGTGAGGACTTGGCAAATGTGTGTTTGTTGATTTGCATGTATTACATGGCAGAGAGAGATGTGCGTCAATGTTGAGATGCAGTGGTCTTTACCGCGGCCTCCATAATTTCTCACTAAATTTGACTCCATCACCACAGTTTTGAATGTCGGCTGAATCGGACGAACAAAAATTCGAGCCTGTCTGCTTTAAGAATCGAATTTGATTCGGTTTCAAGGTTGTAGAAGCCCCCTGTACGACATGCAGTGTTGGGTTTGGAGACGGTGCGCTAGCGGAATCGGGATTGACAGACAGCCAGTTAAAGTGACTCTCACCTCGTCCACCCTTTATGAAAACACGCTGTTGGTGGAATGATCTCTGTCTGGCTTGTAATGTAAAATAACTTGGTATTGCAACCTACAGCTAAATAACACACCATCGGTCGTCCCGGAGTCATTCATTCACTACATTTTACTCAACTTTTCTAAGATATGGTATAATTTCATCTCTGGAAGGCTATAAATGCCCTGTACGTATGTATGGTGAAGTATGGACACAATTATTTGCCGGAAAATTCTTTCTGAAGGTCAAACAATTACAAATAGGTTTTGTTAACTCGATACCAATCGAAACCGTATAAGTGATTGTCATGCTTTCCTGCAATTACCACAGGATATGCAGCCCCTTAAGATTTTCCTGAAGGTGGAGGAACACAATGATTGGGTGGAGTATGCACTGCCGACGTACAAGAGAGCTCGGTGGTCGAGGCTACTGGCATGGCCTGAAGTCCATGCCACCCTGTAGAAGTACTAAGGAGGTACATTAGGTGCTCACAAAACCAAATCGAAGGGCTAAACAAATGATCCTAGTATTACAGGCAATCACATACAAAATAAAGTAGACGGTGAGGGGAATAAGAGTAATAGAGAAGAGAAAGTAACTGGGGACTAAATTCCCCTTTGTTTTATTGAGAAAAAGTGGAATTTGGGACTCTGTTTCGGGTTGAAGTGGAATTGTAGCCACTGGTAGCGATAATTTTTACAAATTAGTTGTTTTAAAAAGCCTTTTATAGGTATGAAGCATTTATTAGCGAAAAAAACAGAAGGAATGTTTTATTTCCTATGCAGTATTTCTTATCATTAGTTTTCCTCACCGTTTTGATTTTGCTGGCTCTAAAGACTCCACTTTTGTACTTCCATGGGACAGCATGGCCTCCGCGCCATGCCATTATCCTCCAGACCTTCTCTGCGTCCTAAGGAAGGACTTGGGATGCTTCATTAGCAAGAGCGGACGGCAAGCCCGATCCTAAAGAACATTTATTCCTATTTCTACTACTGAATGTTAAGTTTTGACAAAGGGTAAGATGGGAGGAACCTTGGACCTCGTCTAACGGAAGGGTTGATGAGGACGTTTCCCTTTAATAACTACTCCAGTTACGTGTTCTGCAGGAAGTCTCTTCGCAACCAAAGCAAAACTGGTCGTAAACCGTCCAGCAAGGTGTGTAACGGAGCTGTCTACATCATCTGTACTGTCCCATACTGTCCAGGTAGGTATGGCTGGACAGTACCAAGAATGTAGTTAAAGGTTGGACTTTCCTTTAGCTTCTGTTTTTGGTTT